CCGTCTCTGTAGTATCGCCTCGATCGCTGCAGGCCTTGGCCTGTATCTTACCGCTCAGTAACGAAAACAACGACAGATCGCATTCTTCGCGGCTCAGACAGAACGCACCTGCGGACACGCTGCACTTATATGGAATCTCACTGAGCCGAGGTTTTCCGAGAGTCGTCCGATTTTCATTCCCAGGCCGGCTTAGAGATTGCCCCCAATATCTATTTATACACTTTGCACTTTCTCGCTACGTTGGGCCCACAGATGCCGCGCTATCGCCCACCAGGGATGTGGGTACTCTGTACTTCAGGCTTATCGCAGAAATTGCACGCATCGCCGTAAACTTATCGAGAAAAAATGCCAAGAAGCGTCGTGCGAGCGAAACTCCTCATACCGCGCTATCACGCCGCCCGAGTCTGGTGACTCGACTCACGCTTTGCCGATTTCGCATTTATTGCGCGAACATAGTTCGAATTGCCATTCGATTGCGTCTCAGTGATTACGAGTTTTCTAGATAGGGCGGTCCTGACTAGTAAACAATACCACTTTTTGCAATTACATATAATATAGTACCGCCGCTCTTTTCTCTGTACACAAAAATAATTAGGCCAGGAAACGGAATACGCGTGCAGGTTGGATAGAACTAGGACATTGTATCCAAAACAAGAGTAGCGGGTGGGTTGGTCTTCTATTTTGGTAAGGGCGGGTCGCTATTCACTTTCCAAAAATCCGCTAAAAACGCTGATCCCGAACCCCAAACCTGCAATAGTTGTTTCCAATCTGTGCAGCGCGAGACTGCAACGCTACTGTAGGGAAACCTCCGATGGCCTTCATCACTCCATCGAAAAAAAACTGGTTGCCTCGCTGCATTGATCCCGTCATGGCCATCGCTCGCTTTAAAGCGGCCCAATTGCGGTTTTCATGCGTCGTTTGCGGCGTCGCTGAATCTACATGCATCATATGGTTAACATGGCGGCCATTCGTATCAATCAGGACCGATATCGAATAATAAGTTATAACGCCACGCTGTTGCTTACTCGTTATTGGTATTGATATGCCTCTGCTTTTGATAAAATTGCCGATATTGCTTTTTGCTAGAGTTATCGATTTGTTTTATCACAGTCTGTTTCTAGCCGGTACGTGCGTCATCTGAAGTTAACTATATTTAGAATATCGGTCTAAAATCACATGCATGCCTATATTAGTTAAATAGTAAGGTCGTTGTGAAGGGCACTTTAAACAGCATAGTGCGAGAGCAATTGGCAATAATGTATAATACACGGCGTAGTCGCGAACCAAATCTGCCTACTAGCTGGCGCGTTAAGCAACCAATATCACTGAAATAAAATGTATATTTTAGAGCTGTAACAGCGTGGTGTGATTAGAGCAAGGTAGCATAGATATAGTATAGTATATATATATATATATAAAGAGCCTAATTAAGAGTGAAGCAATATATATATAAATATATATATATATATATATATAGTATATATATTTAAAGAGCCTTAATCAAGCAGTATTATTACTCTTATATTATATATTATAGGCTTGCGAGAAATCAATTAACATTGTTTTAATCGGGAAATACGACACTCGTTCGCCTAGCGCACACGTCCAGGATTTAATCACTTTATATCAAGACGTTTTCAAAATAGATACTCTGTATGGACACTAGGCCTATACACCTTTTGAATATATTGTAAGCAAGTTGGAAGTTTTACTGAAACCAAGAAAAACTTGTGCTTTAAATGTGAAAGTAGACCATATTTGTAGAACTAGCTGGTGCCCAAACAAACCAGGACTGTGCCAGAAAAATTAATATCATTAAACATTATATACATGTGCACATCATTCACACTTTCACAACAACCACATAATATATTATATTCGATATGGGGGGGTCACAGTTAACGGTGACCCCCTCTTTTTGGTCAGAGGGGGGTCACATGACCCCCATGACCCCCCCTTGGATCCGCCACTGCTATATAGCTATAACTAATCTGAATCATCGGATCTAACTAGCGTGGGCCGGTAATGTGTGTGTAGTAGGATGGTAGGATATTATACGTCAAACATACAACACAAACAGAGCTGCATCTGTCGGAAGATAGTTTACATGCACTGTAGGGCGTCAACGTAAAACCGGAACATAACTTCGCGGAACACGCCGTATAGAATGGGCACGATTTCAACAAATCTCGTGATCTGTTTCATGTTTGATGTCGCGCAAAGAGATCCGAACGAGTTAACAGTTTAGCTCAGGTTAGAAATTGCGGTCGGAGTTCGTCTGACGAGAGCAGGTTTGGCCTGTTGTGACACTGAAATGTGTCGCGAAAAACCATGTCACCCGTCACAAACACGCAAACGTGACCCCAAAAGGCCTCACATGCCAATTATGTGTCCTGTTTTGGGTTAGTGCCCCGCGGGCGGGATATATGTCCTATAACTACACCTGCATGGGCGGAGTGGAAATACTGCTGACCGAGCATTGTTCTATCATGATGACCCGTAGTGTCACGCTGTGTGTAGAACGTTACGCGAACTTTATGGTAGTTATAGAATCAACGACCACATAACCGAGTTTATAAGCTGCACGTTTATGTGCTTTTGGAAAAACGATCGCCGATCCTGTCGATCCTAGCTCGATCCTGTCGCGCAAGCGTTGATTGCGATTAGAACGGACTACCGAGCACATATATATGCGACACATCCTATGAGCTGTAGGAGGTGTAACCCAACACCCTATCCTCCCCCCCCCCCATGTACCCATGTAACTCTCGTGTTGGGTTGCATGGTTACGTTATTGTATGGTTCTGTATATCTATCCCAATCCGGTATTCACCCACCACATTGTCCGCAGTGCGCGAACTATACATACATAATATAGCGACATCAGAGATGCCAACACATATTTGAAGCAATCTGTAGTTTCTGGCCATCAAATTAGTAGTTCGAGGGTCACGTAGTGACCTGAGTTTGCTAGGGGGGTCCGGCATGCTGGCCATCAAATTAGTAGTTCGAGGGTCACGTAGTGACCCGAGTTTGCTAGGAGGGTACGGCATGCCCCCCCGGAAAATTCTGAGATGCAATTTCCTGCATTCTGAGGGTCAAAAATGACAATAAATTGACAAAAAATGACAATAATTGGAAGAAAACATTTTTTCGATCACAGTGAAATTCGTAGTTTGATACAAACTGGTCGTAGTGGTGCAAAATGAATAGAAATTCGTATAAAATACGGATAAATCGCAGTGGTTGCCATCTCTGCGACATTATAGCCTAGGTAAGTTATATAGGTTGCATCATTGTTCGCACCGTATTACCAGTTATACTAGTTTCTCTATATGTTTCTATGGTTCGCACATGTCTTTTGCACGTGCTCCTTGCGTTGCGTCAGTCGATTGCACGTGCTGTGCGTTTCTTTATCCATTTCTTCACTGTCTGTGGGCTGCATGGGCGCGCAGCGCTGTGATTTCACGTGACGAGGGCGTGCACGGTATGAATGACGAAATGCCGAATGAAAGTGTCTAACCAGGGCCGTACGTAAGCTGAGCAAGTTCCTAGGGGGGGGGGGGCAGTGGCGGATCCAGGATTTCAAAGAGGGGGTGAGAAACAGGTGGGTGGTCTGGGGGTTCTCCCACCGAAAATTTTGAAAATGTAGATCGTGGGAGATGGTATTTGAGGCACTTTTGAGTATATGCACATCCTTAATTCATTCTGACTACGACAATTCTGTTTTAGTAGAACAATTAAATTTTTTAATTTTGCTCCAAAATCCAGATGAGACCGGATACCAGAGAAGCGTCGCCCAAAGGAAGACGCGACCGCGGGAACGTCCTACGAAAATATCACGCGCTCGCCGCTATGGAGCTGGTAAACACCGCAAAGACCTCGATATAAGTTGTATCATAGAGCAATTTGATTTTCATGTTGTACAACAACTTTATTTTAATGTGCAACAACGAGTGGGAATACAAACAAGTGATATTGAAATTTACATCCTCGAACAAACAATTTCACGATAGTTTCGCTTCATCTATATTTACATTAAATATCGATAGATTGAATATTATAGATAGATAAATCGAATAGATGGATATATATATCAAAAACGATATATCTATATACACACGTGTAACTGTAAGAGCACATGTACATACAGTACCGTAGCTAACGGTCACACTCACGAAAGCACTAGGATTCCTTACTTTATATAATGTCCAGTTTTTATATAACAGTGCTGCTATCTATGCTGCACACGAGGTTAGCAAACCATTTCCCAATTGTACATTTATATCAACAGTACAATTCATACACCGTTACACTATATCAAGAGTCCATAATAGAAAAACTATCTAGAAGAACTATCTTCTATTATGGACTCTTGACGATATATACCTACACGATATATCATCACCACATACCGGGGTCAACAAAAGCTCTAGTGCAATACATATGGCCTGCTATCACAGGCTCGAAAGCTATGAATTGAACGACAGCGACAATCACATATTCATAATAAATGTACAAGTACTATATAGCATATTGTCCGCACGCAGACGTTATAACTCCGCTTTGCTAATCTGAGGGTGCGGGTTTAACCCATTACCGGGGTCTGCGTCGGGTCGGCCTATATAGCATAGTAATTTAAATTGGGTACATACTACACTAATACTATTCTTGAATCCTCAGAATATGTGATCAGCTGCTACAGTGAACGAAAATTCAAAGTATAGAGAATATAATTTTACAAAATAATGAGCAGTCGAGTATAGTTCTAGAGCTACATGACACATCGAGTCCACTCAATACCGACTGTCAATGTTTAGACAGGGCGTCAACTGATCGTCCAGCTCTTCCTGATAGCGGCCTTGCAAGATCTCAGCGGCATCTGTCAGTTGATTAAGGACGGTGAAAAGACCATTGAGGTGTTGCCGAAAGACTCTGGTGATTTTCTTCGGCTGTTCGTCCACCAGCTCATCCTCATCGTCGTCCGACGTGGGACCTCTCACAAGTTCCCGTTTCACTGTTTTTAGCATGGAGTACACACCGTAAAGATCACCGGGGGATTTCAATTTGCTGTTGGCGATGTTGATGTTGTTGTTTAGTTCGTCGTGGCCGTTGATGATGTTCGTATCACAAGTGAGATCACCGCCGTGCCCTGCTTCACTCGTCGACGCCGTAGGCATGTCCATAAGTCGACGAGGAACCATGATAGCGTTATCCATGTTGTCCACAGCCTGTACGAATACGTTCATTGCCACCAAAAGTGAATTCTGCGAACCGACGTTTTCTTGTCTCGACATCTTTCGCAACGCTATTTGCTTGGAGGCCATCTCCGCTATGTCCTCCCGGGTTGGTGAGGTGACACTTATAGGAGACAATCGAAGATGTGGCTTGTCGGTCATCGCTGCTGGGTCAATACCAAGCATAATATGTGCACGAACCTATCAAATTGTTCAACTATACCTTCACCCTTGTCGCTAAGTCACCGAACGTGCAACTACATTCATTCCCTACCACGAGCCGGCTTTCAGGCTATATTCGTTTGGAATGTGCCATGTGGCGGGGATATACCGTAGATTATGCGTCACGGTAGGTGATAACATTCGATGATACTATCGTTATCTGTATATACATGTGGTGTTTATTATATGAGTACCACATTGCACGCAAGCACGAGCGAATACATTTATATTATCTTGATTTGTTTTGTATAATCACGACACATAAAGGATAACTCACCCCTCCATGTTTACAATGGTGTTAGTTGATTCGCCCCTGTTAAATCAGCCAACAATTTGCGTTTTTCATTGGCCACAGGCCACTTTAAGCCACACCCTCATCTATGACGATTTTAAAAGCACGTGTTTGGCGCGCTGTCGAATATGCATTTTCAGCACATTTGCGCACAGGTGTGGTTGTTGTCGAACTTGTTCTGTGATCGTTTCTACCCGTTGATCAGAATAATACTTTGTATAAAAAGGCCTAAATGTACTGTTGATGCATGAGCGCATAAACTACCACTGTGTGACTGTAGTTGGTATCTTACCCTTTTCATAGAGTACCATAAATGAAGAGAACAAGTAATTTATTGATCTATTATATTGAAAGAATTGCCGAATATAATAATTAATATTAATATATTTTTTGTTACCATATTTTCTCTTGTAAAGTAAACTCTGATGACATGATTTGTGAAACACACTTATATCAATTATATATCTATTTCATACTTCAAAGTTTTTACCAGTTGGCAATCTGAATGTTACATCTATAATTAGCAGTTTCTCTTTAGTTTCATTTTTTTGTAAATTAATAGGGAGTACATGTACATTCTTCTAATTATAATGCAACATATGAAATTAAATGGGAAAAAAACGATTTAAGAATTGATGATTTATTTTTTATTTTTTTTAGGATTGATCGATTTTAAGTGGTGATGTGTCTTTCCTAATTTGCAGAAAGTTGTCTAAACAAAGACCTTTATCCCCCTCCCCCTGAAGCATAGAGAGGAGATATATATTACTTTTTTTTGGGGGGGGGGCTTTTGAATCTCCAAATGAAATGGTATGAAGGTATCCCCACCAATAAGTTCGCCCTGTCTGACCGTGGCTTCGCACCCTCGTTAGCCCTAGCAACGATTTTCTTTTATCATTGTGCCACCCCCCCCCCCAACAACAAAAAAGTTACACTGTGAAGATGGTAGTTATTTCTCTGAAAGTGTCATGTACTTGCTCCTCTTAGCAATTCGTTTACATTCTTTATTCCTATTATTCATATTTATGCAAATTACTTTACCATATAGTCGAAGACATTTTCACTGAATAGGTGTTTTCTTTTCTTTTTCTTTTTTTTTCATTTGAAAATTTGCAAGAATTTCACCTCAGGTATGCACCAGATCGCTCCATTTTAGTGTAATAATTGCAAAATCTCCATCGTGCGGGAGGAGGGACACTCCCCTCCCACACCCTCCCCCCGCTCGGTCGCTATGCTCCCTCGCTCGGTCGCTTCGCGCCCTCACATGTTGCCAACATTTAAAAACGAACCCCCGCCAATATAAAGCTGGCTACGGGCCTGGGCCTATCATCCTATGTTGAATCTTTTATCGGCATTATATCTTCATTTCACACTGCGTGGCAATAGAAAATACCGCAACAACAACGAAAAAAATTTGTTCGTAACAAATTGATGATTTTTAAACATGGCTAACTAATTGAAACTAACCATGAACCGAAGACAATTAACACATTCATTAAATCAGGAGTAGATAATAGAAGCCTTCTATTATCTACTCCTGATTAAATGTATGTAACGGTTCATGCCATTTTCCGTGCGTGCATTTTTTTTAATGAACACCATACATGCATATAGTACGAAAATCGCCCATTCGAATCTCGGAGTTTTCTATTTGCAAAAAAAAATAGATTACTCAACTATAGGGATATAACAGTGTCATAAGTAGCACCATCATCCCGATATATACCTTAAGTCCGATGATAAACGTTCCGTGATACGTGTAAGAAGATCAGGGGTATTGATCGTGTGAGACGCGTGCGTGGCGGATGTATACGTGGGCGGGATAATCAATGTCGTGATATCACCTTCGTGATGTGACATCATTTTACCAAATAAACAGCAGCGTTGCCGTATTGGGAAATACGGTCTAGATTTCAAAGTGCCCTTCGAAATTTTGCGCTCACTGTGGGGTGGTGTGCCCTTTTTGGGCGATGTGCCCTTTAAATCTGGAAAAATACTGTCTAGCTTCAGCCCTGGAACCGGCCCGGAGTGTATGCAGATCCAAACTTGCTCACGGCATAAGACGAATTTTGTTGCTGTTGTGTCAGAAAATCTTTGCAATATAATTATAGTTACTAATACACGCGCAACAAAGTCAGTGCTATATCTTATCGAAATTTGTCGTGTTCGCGAATTGAATACGGCACGACGTTGATAAGCAACTCTTGACTGATTATATAGTCTGTCATCAAGACACTACCATGTCAATATTGGTACAGGCGCGCACGATTCAGGCGCGCACGATTGTATTTCCACCCAAAAGCCCTCGAGACGCATATATGGTTTATGGTGAGCCCCATGCACGCCCCCACGTGCGGAGTGGTCATATTCAAGTATGTACGCGGCGGAACTATAGGTGCACCAAGATTACACACACGCCTAGACTAGATAACGCACACGAATCATCGCGCCAATGTATTTACTTACGTTAAGAACATTTTAAAACCTAGCTGTGTCTATAAAACTATGAAGTCGGAAGAACCGCTAGACTATTAGCAGGGATATATATTATCAAGAGCTAATAAATACCTTGATATTATATATATGTGCGCATGTTGGGGCTATTAGTGTTCAAGTAGACGAGCCCGCCTGCAGTGTCTATACGTTGACTTGTCACATAGAATGTCTTGTGCAAAACCGGGTGGATACCCAATGAAACTGTGTTCCACGCAGAGTCTACTGAATGCTTATTCAGCTTTGTTGTTTGCTATTAAACGATGAGTTAGCGATTTTCACTTTTCCTCTCCAGGGGCCAGAAACATCATAAATTGTGATGACATCGTATAAGTAAAAAAATGTCATAACTACAGAATTGAAGTGTTACGTAAAAGTTATGAAGCTTTACGAGCCCACGAGAAGGCCAGTATATATTCAAGCACTCGTGGCATACTTGAACTACGCGATATTATCTACATCCAGGGTAATCTTAGTGTGTCAATCGAAAGTTGTTAATCGAGAGAAATCCAGAGATACACATATTATATCCAGGGCCATCTTAGTGCGTCTACAAATCGAAAGTTATTGCACATGCAGCCAATGCTCAGTGCTGTTCATGAATATATTTGCAGTTGGTCTCGTACACATTTTTATAGAAAAAATATCGTGCATGTGTACGTATCAAGGTAACCTCGTGAATATAGGCAGGCAGCATCTTTTACTTTGAGTGTTTGTGCTGCCTCCAGGTCTACTACTAGTCACTTAAATCTGAACGCATACACCGCTGGTATGCAGGGCCCTATGACCGCGGGCAATCCGCCGATGAGAAAGGCTGGAGGCAACTGCTCTCCCCCGCAATCTACCGCCCTGGTATAATATGCATTAATTATCACGAATATATATATCAAATACCACGCCTGGTTTATGTTCGTGTGTAAGTATGCAATGTCTAATACTACTATAAAATTCGCCATATATCGTGCGATGCATCCCGGTATATCGATAGGCAGAATTCATTTCCATCACTCATCAACCAACCTCTCACGCAACTGCTTTTCATCAAGTCACACAACTCAAATGCAATTTTAAAAACTGCATTCATTTATTTCAATGTGAACAGATGCAGAAACAAATTCGGTACGGTGCGACACTATTGCATGCGGCGCCACGCTCAGCGAAACATCAATATCATAATTATAAAACGTTTTGTCAAACTGCATCCGAACTATACATTAATTAACTTGTTGTTCTGTGCAGATTTCCGTAGTTTCTCCTACAATATGTACACACGTTTACGATGGTGTGCAGTTAAAGCAAATCATACATACGAAAACACAAGATTACCCTCAGCATATACCTAATGGCAAAATATATAAAAAGCTTTGTCATTTATTTAATTGGATGAAGCCACATTGAACACGCACTCATCTGGTTGACAAGTAGAGGGAGTAGGGGTTAGTAACATAACCCCCGAACAAAAAGATAGAAGACTACGAGCAAAAAAAAGAGAACCGTAAGACAAGAGATAGAGCCAGGCCGATGCAGACTTTTATAGAAAAAATAGATTATGACCAGCACGTTCGATGAGCATATCGCATTGAAATAGTAACTGGCTTTACGTACAGATCTACGTGCTGCCACTGAAACAGGTGATAATGAATGACTACACAGCAGATTGCCGACCGACGACTACATCTAGCAGGAAAAATATCGCACCAGTACTGTTTTAAGAGAAGATAGTCAACAAAACTAATCTATTATAATTACCTAGTCTTGCCAGTTTAGAGATCCACTTCTAATTAGGCCAGACGACAGCCAATACCGTTCATAAATACGATGAGGGGAAACAGCTATTGTCAGCAATGTCAGAGAAGAGGTCAAGGAAACTGCATCGCCGTGCTCACGGAACACGACACGTGAGATAAACAGAATGATATGCTTACATGTTAGTCTTGAAAAGATGCCAATCCGCCGAACGAGCACTGACTGGTACATACAAGTTGTCAAGGGGTGCTATAACAAACAAGTGAATTACAACCGCAACTGCAGACTTTTGTCTGAAAACTTTTATATCATAAATTGTTTGAAGACTTCATAATTTTGTCTGATTTCCACGTTCACTACCCGCACACACTCACTACAGAGCAAAAAAAGAATAGATCTATTTGTATATAGTTTATCGATGTATCAATATGTATCAATATTGTTAACACTGCAGAACGAACAAGAGAGACATGCCAGTCTACGGATGTCCACTGATAGAGGTGACACGACCTACACCAGTTTCAACCTACTATATACGTAGTTATCATTTATAGTATTTTCAGACCAACCATTACGGTCTTGCCATAGCGAGTAGAGTGAATCTAAGTATGCATATACACCACCATTTAATTCATTGCATGACGGATACGACCTTGAATAAATTCGGTTAAAACTTTACCGTGGTAAAACTGAGTGAACGGAAGGGGGGGAGGGTATCAAGTTTCTAGCCGAACCTGAATCTGCCAGTACTGTTGTAGCCCACAAGGAAGATGCTATAAAGACCATATTACATCTTTACTGCTCCGAGTCAAATAACTTATGAGAAGAAATATGGTTAAAGTTGCATAAAATAACCCTGACCATTCCATTCTGATATGCGACCTTATATGTGTCTGTGACATAGAATGTATTCAGGCCTAAAACACATCTCGTAACACCGTAAAAAAACTCACAACACCTTTATTACTTTTTTAGATTAAAAGGAACAGTTGATGTGAGACGTGTCTAAACAAAAATCAACAATATCAGATACCAGATCGGATTTACTGAATCCACTCCCCATTCAAAAACCCATTCGCTTTCATGCTCCGTGTCTCTCATCACTCAATCACCGCCGTCTCAACATCCACGTTATCATTCGCAAAAAGAAGAACTCCATCCAATGATCGTCGAGCGCGTGTATGCATAGTGTCGAACGATTAATCAGCCGCGCGAGGCTACGATTCGAAAATAAAGTAAAGCGCTTGCAGCACGGGGCGACCTGTGACGTTTGGAAGCATGGCTAACAAATATACTAACCCAAGCCGCGGCACACCTCACCCTTCGTGCGACAACAACCTACCTCGTCACGCGTGGCTTCACATGCATCGCGACGAAGCTTCTCGCATTTATTCGCGTCTGTGCCTCTCCGGCAGCGGCATCGCATTAAAATCGCGGCACACCGTTATCGTGAAAAAGCGGGGCGGCCAAAGAAGCAAAAGAACGTCGCCTAGGCGAGTTCGCGGGGGAGGGGGGAGGGGGAGGGCTACGTCGGGGGCGTTAATACTGTCATCGAAGTGGGACGGTGCAGCGAGCGGGGGGCGCCGGGCCCCCGTCGCTCCTCCCCACCTCGACTTCGTCTGCAAGGAAACGACGAGTTTCGACGTCCGGCGGCGCATCACGCGCGTGCGTTCTGGCTTACCGTCGCCGATCCCGCCGCGGACGCGCGCGCGTCGCCTCTCGACGTGCGGCCTCGGCGCAAAGATGAAGAAACGCGGCGGCCGGGGCGCGCTCACTGGCTGCTGAGTGCGCAAGATAGTGCTTGCTGCTGCTCCATGCTCAGCTGGGCCACGCACGCGTTGAACATTTCGCCGTTGCCCTGCAGAGAAAACGGAAGCTCAGTTGGTTAAAGCCCATGTGTGTGCATGGTGTGTGTGCGTGTAGTGTTCTGTCTTCACTTAGCTTGGCCTTTTGTTTAGAAGTTCGTATCAACAATAGATAGTCCTGCAAGTTTTTCCGTGATTCAACAATTCAGTGCTGTTACTGGTGCTGCTGCTGCTGCTGCTGTTGCTGCTGCTGCTGCTGCTGCTGCAAGAACGATAACATTACAACAGTGGCAATGCATTTGCCTCTGGTTGTTTTAATCTTCGTTAAGATATACATAGCAATGATAACCACAAAAATCCTGGAATAAAACAGGCATTTCTGGTTTATTGTCTTGAACTTTAGCATCATTCAACAACTGAACCTCTTCATTAGCATCTTCACCATCAATAATCTTCTATTTCCATCTGTTGCATGTTTATAGACTTATACGAGCAAATTCCATTTTGTATGCATTCAAAGCTGTTTTGTTACAGATCTCATCTGCCTTGTCTGTCAACATATTCCATTATGACTCGATTATCTGCTCCATCTTTTTACAGTCTTCTACCTCTGATAACATCTGCTGCTTCTTTTCTGCTTTACTGAGCTTTCTCTTTCTACTTTTCTCCAAAGTAATGGCATATTTGCTTGGAATAGCTACCGGATTGGATCAGCATGCTAACTGCGATTACATTATCTTCATTGCTCAGCTTTGTAACTTAAGTATGCACGTTTCTGAATTCCAGCAGTATAACCATACCCACTGATTGTGATAGGCTTTTCAGGTGATACGGAAGGTTATCATGTTGAAATTTAATCCTTTCCTTCGTGCTTCTTCTTCTCTGCCTTTCCTTTTAACAATACCTTGTAAAGTTTTATTTTTCCTGACGAATAGGTAAATGCCAATTTTCCAAGTTAAATTTTTTTTTGACTTTTCCCCTGACTTTTTCTTAGCTATAATAATAGTTATTATTTCCTGACATATCCTTTAACTGTTGCAACAACGTCTGGTTTTCTAAGAAAATCCACATCATCTCATAGTCATACCTCGGGCTCTTGAGCTTCGCCTTTGTTCCGGCATTATAATGGTAATGGATTTTTTTGGCACATTCCTTCTATATAGTACAGTAACTCTGTCGACCTCAAAAAAACTACTCCGTACACGAAACAACTAATGAGCAATCCTATTGCGACATGGCATTCTAGTGTCCTAACCTACACGTGGGGCATTAACTGACCTACCCTGACCCCCTTATCTGAGGGACCCAACCATGCCCCCCCCACCTGGGGGTCACAGTTGGGTCGGTCAAGCTAGTAGACACCAGTTTATACTTAATTGTCAAGCATGCGCTCAAAATGGCAAAATTTGCGACACTTTGCTGCTACTAAGTAGCACTTTTAGAATCCCCCCGAACGCGTTGGCGATTGCACAGAGCTTGCCGATCCACTGAGATCAGTTGCGAACGATGCGACAAAGCGAGTGCAAGCTCTCTGCTACGCGCATCGCCGTGCGAATCGCTCCCACGGTCACCGTCTCACAAGCAGTCACGCTCGCTCCCAGCCTCGGCCCTGCGCAGAAAACCCGCCGACGTGTCCGGGAAGACGGGAAGCGCGGGGGGCTGCGTCGCGCGTAGGGGGGGGGGGACTCACCTGGATCTGCCGCACGATATTGAGTAACCGCGTGCGGACCTCCGACTTGCTGTCGAGAGCCTCCTTTGCGAGCGCGTCCGCGATAATGGCCACCAGCCGCGGCACGTTGCTGTTGTTCGCGCCTAGTATCAACGGGTGATTCCTGCGAGAAGACGAACAACACGTTACTTACTACATTACTACTTATCGATGGGGTTACTACTCTGCGAATACATAATTTAACATTCTTCACGAGCGGTTGTTCACGCTGAGTATCAACGGGTGATTTCTGCTAGGAGACGAACAACATGGCAGGGGTTACTCTGCGAATACATAATTCAATGTTCTTCACGAGCAGTTGTTCATGCTGAGTATCAATGGGTGATTCCTACGAGGAGGGATTAATCACCTGTGAGGATAAGTAACAACACGTTACTTACTACATTACTACTTATCAATGGGGTTACTCTGTAGCAAATACGTAATTCAATGTTCTTCATGAGCGGTAACCACGGGGGAGATTCCTGTAAGTAAACATCATATTATATGCAGCAGGTATCAGTGGACGATTTCTGCAAGGTAAACAATGCGTTGTTCGCAAAGATTGGATAAATTACAACCGGTAAACACGGGTGATTTCCGCAAGTAAGCAATACCGTGTTTACACCCAGTATCGATGGATGATATCGGCAAAGTAAACAACGCATTGTTATTCACACCATATCATACTTCACTACGAAATCCTTGATCGGAGGGTCACCTCAGGTCAAGAGAGGGGAAGGATCTGCTCGAGCAAGAATGAGAAAGACTGCACAAATCTGAGTTTGCTGGAAGATGGTCCATGCTGTCTTCGGTTCACCGAGTTATCACTCAAATTTTGTTTAATTATCTACAATTTAAATATCAACAGACATACAGAGAAGGCAGCACACAACATGCGAACAGTTTAAAGTAACTATTGCGAGAGTTTTCCAGTGTTTTCCCCACTTTCATGACACCTACCGTTATTGCTTGAGTAACAGCAATTGTCTAGAGTAACAATAAAATGTCTTAGAATCTTCGTATTGACCAAATCATGCACAATTACAATTTTGTGTTCTGTTTATGTTTACCATTGCCATCTCTCAGACTTTCTCGCGGTAACGCGAGACATCTATCACGGTGCAGTAATGCAAATACTCGCACCCTAGAAATCAGGTCAGAGTGTAAACACAGACGTTCATACTAGCGTAACAGCAGTGTAGTACTAATGCTGCATAAAGTCTGTTATTAGAGAAGCTTGTGGATTACCAGTCAGATGGTAACACTGGAATGACAATGACAGAAAGTGCTCCGAATTATTGACATAAAAAGTCAATAATATTTACCACACAAAACTGCACGCCCTTTTGTTTTAATTATGCACTTGGTTTGAAGGCGCCATTTGTATTTTGGATTATCGGCATACGATAATATTCGGAGCTGGTATGTGGTCAAATCCATTTTTCTATGCTATAACTGCATAAAATCTTAGTGTTTTTAATGTTGGTCTAATCAGTGATGTTTCCGCTGTCAGGTGAGACTAAATTCAGCTATATTTAGTTTTTCTAAGCAAAAATCTTGGAATAGTCAGTTTAACAGACCACTTAATTTACCTGCTAATATCGGACTGAATGGATACACCAAACTTAGCCCAACAGAGAAATGCCAGATGCTATAGCATGGGCCCACTTTTTAACAATTACACATTTATTTAAAAATTTTAAATTAAAGTACATATAAAAGTAGTAGACGGAGTATTACGCTTATTGATATTATTAATTAAGTATTGTTCAATATTTGCCAGTCTGCAGTCTGTCTTCTCAGTTTCTATCTGTATTCTGTTATCCTCGCTCACACTCAGGCCACATGGGCCTGCACCGAATACAATTCACACAGTTGAAGTAAACCCATGCTGTTTTTATGGGGGGGGCTGTTGTGTTCAGTCACACTTTGGGTGCCCGTTGTCAGTCGTGTTTACATCTACAAGCTGTTCCACTGTACCTCTACTTCTACATGAGTGTAGTTTCGTGTCATGAAGTATCAGATATAGAGGGCATGTTAATTCATTACTCTTCATTTTCATTTTTCATTTACATTTTACTCTGCAGTAGTGCAAATGACAATTCATCTCCAAAAACCTATACAAGCAGTAAAAACAAATGCAAAGGACAGACACACGGATGCAGCATCTATGGGCGAACGAGCGACCAATTGCCTCCGCCACCCACCCACCAACCCAACACAACCAATCACCCCCACGTGACGAATTGCCCCCTGCATGATCGATCGCCCCCATGCGACCAGTTGCCCCGCGTGATCGCTCGCCCCCCACCTCCTCCAGCGGAAAACGTACGCTTCGATAAGATCGCACAGGTAGCCGTATATGTGCGGCGCCTCGTCCTCGTCCTCCCACACCGGTAACCACGACAACCAGAGCGGCAGCACCTCGTCGATGTTGAAGCGGCTGCTGTTGTACTTGCATATCTTCGTGACGGCGGCGATGGCGTTCTCCGTCGGGTTGATGTTCTCGCAGGCGCGCGAGTCCGGCGCCCCGATCACCTGCATGAGCAGCGGGATCGCCTCTGCGAGCGAACGCACGAACAGAGAGCGCGCGTTACGCATGTATCAATACATCGCATATTATGCTTATTATTATATATATATATATATATACATTGATTCATATATATATATATCAATATATATCAATAATTGATCGACCAATCTGTCTGCGTGAGATAACCACACCTCCCCGGAGCGGGTTGTGGTTTTCACGAGTGAACACGAAAATGTTGACCTTGCTGCACTTTGATGCCAAGCATTGTTTTTAGAATGTGACATTGCAACAACGATTGGCTAGAGGTGCCTGTCAATCGCACCAGGTAAATTTTTCATTCCGAATGTGGCATGAATTTTCACCTGGTGAAGCCAAACATTGATAACCATGACCTCCTATTATTTTCTTAGTGTCCCACTTATATTTGTTAGATAATGCATATCACAAACACTTTCTTGAGCAACCATTAACTATGCCCCTAACAAACATCTACGTGCCACAGATACTACACTAATCGTAGACGCTACGCTAATCGTAGCTAATTGTAGACGCTACGCTAACCGTAGATGCTACGCTAACCGTAGACGCTACGCTAACCGTAGACGCTACGCTAACCGCATACGCTACACTAACCGTAGACGCTACACTAATCGTAGACGCTACGCCAATTGTAGACGCTACGCTAACCGTAGCCCCTACACTAATCGTAGACGCTACGCTAATTGTAGACGCTACGCTAACCGTAGACGCTACGGTAATCGTATACGCTACACTAACCGTAGACGCTTCACTAATCGTAGACGCTACGCTAACCGTAGACGCTACACTAATCGTAGATGCTACGCTAATCGTAGATGCTACATTAATCATAGTAGCTACACTAATCGTAGACACGACACTAATCCGTGCTCTCACCTGCACACGCCTGAGCAAACTCGGGCCCTGCAAACTGGGCCATGACGCCGGCGCCGTAAGCTGCCGCTTGCCTCACCTCACCGTGGCTATTCACAATGTGTTGCATCAGTGGACGTAGGAAGTACTCCTGGTACTTTATCACAGGCTGCAACAACGTGGACATAACATGACTCACATGACTCGGTGGCACTGCAACTCACTACTTCGCTACTACGGCATGCAACATGGGGAGAGGCGCAGCACGTTGAGTGAGAAAACCAACATTTTGCAACACTATTCGCTCCAGATTGTATGCTAACGATCATTGCAATCAGGTTGAAAATCATTTACCGACACAATAGTATTGCATTTACTCGCGAGCAATATATTTCATCTTCGCAGGTTATCAACATTTTTAGGATTAAAAGAGTAAGACTGCAGGATTTTCGCACGAATGCAATCATAACCGTGCGTATTGCATAACTACAATGTCTCACACACTTACTGGTCCTCCATGCTCAAGAGCATCATCAAAAATACACAAGCCCCACTGATGGTCTGGCCACGGTCTTTCTGCTCCCTACAGCACAAGAAACATGCACGAACAAATGGTGACAAAAATACGTGACAAAGAAACCGAGTAAATACAATACTGCTAATGTGCTGAAAAGCATGCCATGTAACTCTCTTTAATTTATAAAACGTGTTTTAAAGTGGTACTCAAAAATTAGGTTACCATCAGCTTTGCGAAATGGGGTAGAAGTTGCTCGAAATAGGGAAAGAAGTCAGCCTTGTGTGTGCCAAACAGTGCATGGACAATATCCGAAATCTTGCTAAGAATATACACATCCTCATCATCCTGAAAAAGACAAATATTTTATCATATTGGACCTCAGTACCTCAACAAAATAACCGTTTATATGATAATACAATGGTACTGGTAGTGACACTAGACTAGGTCTCGTTTGATTACACTATTAAAGAATTTACCTCATCCAAAAGAGATTCTTCAACTTCCTCATCATAATCTTCATCTTTTCTCTTTTCTAGAAATCAGACAAATAATGATCAGACAAACAATCCATCAATGAAACTTCATTTCTATCTAACAATCATTTTTTATCATCTTATATGACATGTGGAAAACAACGAAAATTAAAAACCTGCAGTAGTTACATCATGTACAAGCACGAATACTGCCGAAAAACATGCTACTGCGCTTACTTCAGCCATTATTACAAAAAGGTGCTACAGATTTCACGTAACGACAAGAATTAATATTCGAATGAGGCGTGATACTAACGATGTCGGCCTTCGGCCCTCTCGAAATGTTCCTTCAGGATTTTGTTCATCGTCGTGATAAGCTCCGCCATGGCCTCGGCATTCAGGCACCCACTCCCCAGCACCTCTATACACTACAAGCACACGTAACAGAGAGCGTGTCGAGTCACCACGTCACGTAACGCATCGCAACGCTCGGCTCATAGACAATACACCGTGGACAATACGGTCACTCCCATTTCTCTGTCACGCGATCACACGTATCGTGGAAATGATCATGTTTCGATATAAAAATTATTTACCGAACACTTACACAAGTATGATCCAAAGATCCAGCACAGTGGTTTTCAATGTGGGAAGTACTGCATTCCTGGGGCTATGGTATTACATGGGTGAGGAGGCGCTAACAGTTTAATAGCAGTGACTGCGTATAACAATAATTAGCATTCAGCTAATACTAGCGAAATATTTAAATTATTGTCTCGACTCTTCACGTAGACTCACCACAAGTATCAAATTTCAAGACGGGTAAAAATACGTGTTTTTTACGGCTGATACGACATCAGCGCGTTATCGACAAACCTTAACGAAGCCGCACACATATTTTTCCCGCACGCACTCATTAGCCAAATTTAATAAATAATTACCTCCTCCTCCTTAATTAGTCAAACAACAATAAATTTACGGGTAATTAGAGTTGAATAGCACCTTAAGGATGCCGAGCACGTGCTTTCTCACACAATCATGACGAAACTGTTACAATCATTTTTATAATAATTAATAATTAGTGTCGCCTAACGAGACTAATGGCAAATAACTAACGAGTGATTAAACAACGCGACACCTCCGCGCAGCTGTGCGTGCTTTTTTCCAACCCGTTTGCCAAAAACCTTTTCTTTTTTTCTTTCAATTACGTTTACTTTCGCAATCAATACCGATCAACGGCAAACTCCCTAATTGCGACGACTAACGAGCGATGACTAACGAGCGTGGTACCTTTGCGAGGCTGTGCATGTGTTCGGAGAGCACGTCGTTGCCCGGCTCCGTGTCGACGGCCTTCAGCAGCTCGGGGCAGATGAAGGCCCACATCTCGCGCAGGTAGTCGTCGCCCTTGATCTTCGCACACTCGAGCAGGAACGGCAGGCTCTCGGTCGCCGCGACTCGCACGCGTGGCGCGCCGTCAAGGAGAACAACGACGACGACGTGGTGGTGACCGGACGCTGACCGGTTACTGACCACTGCGACTGGATACTAATCGGGACCAGACACTGACTGCCGCGACACGTGTTCGCTTTTTGTCTTCGCTCGGGCTAGTTACCAGTTACCCGATTAGACCACTATTTCACTAGTGAAAATATTCGTCATTAAACAGTTAAAACCCTCGTTTTAATCACCAAGTTACAGTTCTTTGTTTCCCCTAACTGGTCAGGCTAGTTACCTGATAATACCACTATTCTACTGGTGAAAATTAAATTTAAAAAACCTACATTAAAAAAATCTCGAGTTTCAATTAAATTTTTTTTCCACTAGCTACAAAAATTTGTAAAAAAGTCACATTTCAATCAACAACTAAACGTGATCTACAAGTACGTCAGGCTACTGATCTGATAACACCACTAGCCACATAATTCAAACCTACTAGCCAAAATTCTCCATGCCAAAATTCAACAAGTGCCGCAGAGCGACAGCGCTCACCTGACGTGTACTGTAGCCAGGTATTCTTCTGATAAACTCACTGGCAACCGAATCAAGTGCGCCCTCCCGCCACCGCATTCGCGCTCAGATCATATATCTAGGATACTACTAATACGGATCTAAAATCTATGATAGGCTTTGCTATACCTATTGGTAGTACAGTAATAAAGATACAGCTGTGTAACTTTAATGACTTCGCTATATTAACATGTTATCATGGATATGTGTCGAGCCCGAGCGTAGTGGTGGTGGTGGGGGAGGCTGGAGGGCGCATGGGGAGTTGGCTCTAATAGCAAAAGCAGTTCAGTCCTTTGTTAACAGTCAACAAATCCATGTTTAACCCTCCTCTTGAGGGTTAAAAGGTTATCAGACACTTACTCTTCGCACGTCAGCGGAAAGTAGATTTCATGGTCCTTTCAATAAAGTGATAAAAACGGTACGTCAGCGCTGAAACAAAAAAGTTTTTCAATCGCTCCGTTAGACCATGTCCTCAGAAAATGTCTGATATCTGACCTTTCCCCACTGCCCTTTGACCTATGACCTCCAATTTCACGCTGGTGATGGGTTTCCTCCTCATCACACTATACATCGAATATTAAGAGCGTAGGTCAAGCCATTGAGATTTTGTGTAGCAATTCCGTATTTCCTCCTATACCTTAAGTTAAGGGGGAAATATTCCCCCTCCATTGACACATCTTGACCTTTGACCCTTGAAACCCAAATTCGACATCCCGAGTCCTTTTCGCGATCCCCCCCCCAGACATCCCGAATACCAAGACCGTACGTCGAGCGGTTAAGATTTGTGCCCAACTGTTGACGAACGCACGGCGGACGCACGGACAATCATGCGATTCTACAAGCTGCATCTGACTTCATCAGCTGAGCTAAAAAAAAAACCCTCACGCAAATCTTGCATCCTACGTATCACTCAGTTTCCTCATCTAGTATTCGAAAAGATACTACCCCCCAGGCCCACACCCTTTTGACACGCGCAGTCCTTATACCACTCACACTAAACACCTCCCAACCCCGACCCCATTGCACAGACAGACGTCGGCAAGGATATCATCGTGGAAGTAGAACTTGAGCAGTGGCACCATGAGCTTGACGACCTGCTCCGTGTAGCCGGCGAACCCGTCCTTGAGCTCGCGCGCGTAGCAGACAAGCATCTGACACGCGGTGGCCTTCTCCTCGAGGCCCGCCGTGCGGATGCCGAAGTTCTGCTGGTCGCCGAGCGTCACAAACTGCCACGCGTCGTCGTCCTCCATCGTCTTCATGTCCTCGCCTGCGGAAAACGTGCGCGTCGGTGTTAGCGTGGTGGTGTGAAAGCACAGTTCCGTATTGCGACATGGGGACATAGATTGCTAGAGAAATAGACGCGGCAATAAAAAATTTATATAGAATGCAGAAACAAGCGACGGTGTTGTTCGCCTATGGAGGTGTAGGTGGTGGACATGTTTCCAAGCGTGCGTTCGCCTCTTTGACCATATTATGTTATATCACCTGCCAACGAACGGAGCATGTGTGTGTTTATCTTTGTAAACAGTTATATGGGTGTTAACTAATATTCAATTTTTAAAGAAATTGAATTTTTTTTTTTTACATTTGAATTTTTTCAAGACGGATATCTGTCTACAGATGGACAGTTAACACCTATGTAGTTAGGTGTAGGTGGTGTGCGTAGTGGTGCACGTGAGCTTGCACGTGCATTCATAGTTAGTTTTGTTCGTTCGATTTTCTTCATATGCTTTTTCCATCTTCTGTGTTATGTTATATTACGTGTTTACACACAGTGTATGTATGCACGTTAAGCTCGGGGCTGGTTAGTATTACATTACATTACCTGCTAAGGTACGGTGCATGTATGTGTTTATCATAGAATTGGTTTCGTGTTATCAGAAGTAGATAATAGGGAAGGAGTGTGACTTCAATAAACAAGGGAAATTCGTCATTTACTAGCCTTAGAATACCTACGATTTACTACGCGTAACTCAACCAACTTAAGCTCTCAAATTGTACACAGTGCATTCGCCTAGCATCGTACGAAATCGTTTCCTCGTATACACGCGCCGCACCGATGTCTCCATGGTCTGATGGCAGCAATCGACTCTCATGAAACCCGTCCTAACTTGAAATATAGCCCAGCTCACTAACTGACTCTTGCGCAATCGGCATTGCGCCCTCGGCCGATGCCGGTGTGGCTGCCTGCGCAGATCGGAGCTGCGAACTGCCTGGCTGATGTGGCGGTGCGCTGCGTGGTGGGGGCATACCAGCTGTAATAGGTCATAAGATTCAGCTCGCCGAGTGTTGCCGTCGCATGTCGCCAATCTCCAGCGAGCCACACCGCATCGCGCATGGGCCCAGAGTGCGCCAAGAGTCGTTAGTAGCTGGCCTATTGTTTCAAAGTTAGACGCGATTGGAGTCGATTGCTGCGCAACAGAATGCGAGAATCGTGTCGTCTGTTTTAGTCTGTATCTCCGGATTGCGGGCGTATACGACGAAACGATTTCGCACGATGCTAGGCGAATGTACTGTGTACAATTTGAGCTCAAGTTACGCGTAGTAAATCGTAAGTATTCTAAGGCTAGTAAATAACCAATTTCCCTTGTTTATTGAAGTCACACTCCTTCCCTATTATCTACTTCTGGTATTATATACAATTACCTGCTAAGGTACGGTGCATGTATGTGTTTATCATAGAATTGGTTCGTATTATATTACCTTACCTGCTAAGGTACGGTGCATGTATGTGTTTATCAATGCATAGTATTGGTTTGTATTATATTACATTATATTACCTGCCAAGGTACGGTGTATGTATGTGTTTATCATAGAATTGGTTCGTATTATATTACATTACCTGTTAACATGGTTAAGGTATGGTGCATGCATGTGTTTATCATAGAATTGGTTCGTATTATATAACATTACCTGCTAAGGTACAGTGTATGCATACGCATTTATCTTAAGTTTTGTTCGTGTCATATTACTTACAGCAAGTATTATTTTTCAAGTTTTCTCAAAACTTGCACTTGAATGATCAAGAGCGTTGACAGGTAAAAACATGATTGTAGACAGTAACAATAAAATACTGTCGCGACTGTCACAATATTTGGATTTGCATCAATCATAAAAGGCAGGGGTCGAAATAAGCGATGGTCTGATGGTCCGGGGCCATCAAATAATCAGGAGGACCATCAGATTTTCAAAAATATTTTGGTACCATTTTTTGGTAATTTTCTTTGAAGTTTCCACGTTCCAATATACTATTAAAGTGAATAAACAAATACTCTATAGTTTGATGCATTCATTGTTACGTAGGTGAATAATTAAACCATTTTATCACGATGTAAAATCGCTTTCTTACGCTTGCAAGCCACATTACTTTTAGAGAACAATTTCAAATTTAGGAGGACCATCTAAATTTCAAACTAGATGGTCCTGTGGGCCATCTTTTTTTCTCCTTATTTCTACCCCTGAAAGGCCTTACGTGGCTGCTCTTGTACATATATCGTAGATACTCACTGTCAAGTAGTGCCACTTCAGGCTTCAGAGAAGCTGCTTTCATGACTGGTCCCATCACAATGGGCAAGTACTGCTCAAACTCCTTGCCTAAAATTTTGCACATTCTTGCCCACGCTGATATCATGTAGGAAATCTGAAACGAGTGTATAAGCTATGGTTTAGAAACACATCTGCTGTCAATTTCAAAGGCATTATGGCATTATGGCATAAAGTTCACATGAACTCCAGCAAGCGTCAAAAACCTATGAAGTTCCACAGGAAAATCAGCGAGTGTATGACCCTCTGAGACTTAATCTCGAACCCGATCAGAGACTCAGAGACGAACGCATGCCCCAGCGATAGTTGTCAACACTATTCCTCCACCCCTTCTCCTCCTCCTCTTCCCCTTCCACCTCCTCCTTCACCTCTTCCTCTCTCCCCCTCCCCGAGGGAGGCACTCACCTGCGGGTCGTCCTCAGGCAGGTCCGTCTCCTCTTCCTCCCTCCCCTCCTCCCTCCCCCTCCCCGAGGGAGGCACTCACCTGCAGGTCGCCCCTCGAGGCAGGTCTGTCTGCTCTTCCCCCCACCCCTCCTCCCTCCCCCTCCCCGAGGGAGGCACTCACCTGCGGGTCGTCCTCAGGCAGGTCTGTCTGCTCTTCCCCCCACCCCTCCTCCCTCCCCCTCCCCGAGGGAG